ACATTTGCGCTGTGGCGTGCGACTCATACGAATTTCGTTAGTCGCGGCGCGCGCGTCCGTGCGTGTTTAACTGCGAGAGTTCGCATTTCACGGCCGTGAAAGGGCGAGGAGTAATGTCAATGCGCAATTTGCCATCGTTATAGAGAATGTTAAGTGGCTTCACCGCACAAAAGCCCGTATTTACGCGTGTCCTTTGTCCAATTTGCAACCAATCATTGTTGACGATCGCTTTATTTTTCGCTCGACCGTAATGAATTCTTTTGACACTTCACCACCTTTCTCCCTCTCTCTTTCTCTATTATCACTGTGACGTGCGTTTATATATTCACGATTATCTCGTCCACGGACTTTTGGACGCAACAAGTGCGTATCCGCGCGTTCGCTTACAAATTTATTATCATAACAAGTAAAAAAACCGTGCTAAACAGAGCACCGCGGACAATAACATTACTCCGGGCGGAATTAACGCACTTTGATTTAAACTGTATAACAGTCCCCTGCGTAACAAACAGCTCGCGGCCGTTGGAAATTTACCGAGACCCAAATACCTGGAAAAAATTCAACCTTCTCGGAACGGAGAGATATAAATCATGATAATGCGAGAGACAGCAGACAATGGAAATGCGCGCGCGTGTTGGAGCTTTAAATGTACCTGCCGTATTTCTTTCTCGGCGAGAATACACGATTCTCTGTTTCTCGCATGCTGGCTTTCAATTAATTACCGTGGTTATCTACGTCCGGCTTTAAGAGACCATTTCTACGCGTCTTTCCTCGGTCTGCCCCGTTTTCGCGCGTCAAGTCTCCCCCCGTCAGTCTCCGTACGTAACTCTCGTATTCGCCATTCGCACGTGACTCGATCGGAGAAAGTGTGCGGGTAATGACACTCGGCCGCTCAGACGCGGTCAAACACACGTCCGCGTTTGTGTAGCCTACCGCGGCCCAGCGACTGTTTATGCGCCTCTTTATTCTTCCTCTTGTTCTTCTGCTCGTGATAGCTGCGCTACTATCGAGCGCGATACGCTCGCGTAATTATCGCGAGTTGAGCGAATCGTAAAGAACGCGAGAGAAATCGCGTCAATTTTCCGACCGCCTGCTCTTCCTGCCTCACAGAAGGGAGAATATATCTTTTTGGGGAAAGCGAAGAAAAAATTCAAACACGGCCCGTTTCGACGTCAACGTACCACCACACGTACTCCACGAAAGCGAACGTGTTACGCTCGCGCGCGCGCGAAAACGAAAGCATCGCGTCTTCGATGTTCGATTTCTTCCGTTGCGCCACTTCGTTGCGTCACAGATTTAGCGCTTCGTCGGCGGAGCGATTTAACGTTGCAATTAGCTCCGACGAAGAGATAGACGGAGAGAGAACGCGAGCGCCAGAGGAAGAAACAGTGAGCGTACACGTGCGCCGACTTACGCTCTCGCCGCGCGCGCGCGCGCGCGCGCGCGCGGTGACGGAGAAAGTGAAAATAATTTCTTCATCGGAACCCGTCTCGCCCCTTTCGCCGTGGTCCGCCAACATCAGATAGCAGCGCGGCTAGTTAGACATCGCCGTGGCTGTCCACCGCGAACGGAGGACCTTCGTCGGCTCTCTTCATTAGTGCGGCGGCAAGTTCAAGGCCGGCACGTTCCAAACGGAGACACGGTGGCTTGGACGGTGGCGGGGAACGGGCGACGGGGGATAGAGAGAGAGAGAGAGAGAGAGAGAGAGAGAGAGAGCGTCTGTAGTGAACCTTGGAGATCCTTTCATCTCAGTCACCGTCGTCATCGTCGTCGTCGTCGTCATTATCATTATAACCGTCATCATAATCGCCGTCGTTGTCATCACCATTATCATAATCATCATCATCATCATCATCATCATCATCATAATCGCCGTCTCGAAAATCCTGGAGCGCTGCGACGAGTCGTCACCCATTTACGCGTGCCAATCACTTGCGCGAGAAGCCCGCGCTTGAACGGTCCACCGCGGAAGAGAAATCTCCTGTGTGACCCGCGAGCTCCGGCGAGAGACCGAGGCGAAGCGCGGCACCGTAGCATACCCGAGAAAGAGAGGGAGAGAGGGAGAGGGAGAGAGAGAGGGAGAGAGAGAGAGAGAGAGAGAGAGAGAGAGAGAGAGAGAAAGAGAGCCCTCGGTTCCGCTGTCGTAAATCATACACACACGGAGACGTTACCTCGGCTCCTCGTCACTGCGTGCGAGCCACCGGCACGGTCGGCGATCGCGGCCAGGTGCAATCACGCCGTCGCGCGCGCGGTCAGAAGCTTTTGATCTCGCGGCACCCATGCGTCCTCGCCTCCGTGCCGCAACCGGGCGACCGCGTCTCACTCTCTCACTCTCTCACTTTCTCGTTCTCGCGAGAAATCACGCACGACTGACTGACTCGAGTCGCTGTCGAGTCCGCCGAATCCGCCGCGGAGGACGTCGCGCGCGCTGCGCGACTTTATCAACGACGATCGGCCACCGTTGCCGTAATTATCCGCGCAATATATATATATATATATATATCGAATACGATCCGAATCGGACGGGCGCGGACGGGAGGAATGGGACAAGGGAAAGGGAATGATGAGAGCTGGAGGATTGTCTCGTGTCTCCGCGACGTGTCACACACGCGCTTCTTCGTTTCGCAGCCGCGGCTCGGTCGCCGCGCGAGGCGCAATCGCGTCGCGGAAGGAATCAATCAGTGTATTGTAATGGACATAATTCGCGCGCAACTCAATAAGCCCGGCAGCTTTGATTGAGTAGTAACCCGGGGACATTTATTAGACCGGCCCTTTGCATAAACGTATTCTTTCTGCGCGGCCGGCCGGTGCGACTCGAGGGTGCAACTTAACGACCCATCTAGCTGGCCCATCATCATGCTATATGCAATAACTCTCCCCTAGCGCGCCGCGCCGCGCCGCGCCGCGCCGCGCCGCGGCACAGCGGCGGCACGACACGACACGGTGCGGCGCAGCGGCGACACGACGGCATGTTTAATGTAGAGCGACTCCGCGCGCGTCCTCCGTCGGCCATGCGATGATTACGCCAATCATAATAGGCTCTGGCCCCGTTGAGACTCGACATTGTGATTGGGCGCGCCACAGGATCGAGCTAACTACCCGCAGAAATCAAGCAAAATAGAAACAAGACCGGTCCTCAATCACGTATAATTGTACTCCGTCTGTTCTACGCCGCTGATACACCCCACCTTGATACTTATATTTAGCGGTGCACAATTTTCCTCTCGGTGTATAACTCGCCTCCTGCGTGACTGTTACTCCGACCGACCGACCGACCGGCCGGCCGGCTGATCGGTCAGCCAGCCAGCCAGCCAGCCAGCCAGCCCAGTGGCCTCCCTCGTTATTTTCTTTATTTATAGTCATATTCGCTGAAACGCCGCGTATCATCTCAACGCGCGCGCGGCGATACGCCGCACGGGGCCCTGCATAAAGCCCGAGACGAGATCTCTAACGTAAACACGCTTATCCGCCAAATCGATCGTAAAATATCCTGTTATTATCGGGGTAGGCTACCGTCCGTAACGCCGATCGCCGGGCGTGATCGCGAGCCTCCGCCGCGCTGCGTCGAGACCGTCAACATTTTCTCGCCCGTATCAATCTGTAAGGATCCGCGGAAACTTCGGCATCGATATATCACCGCCTCTTCTTCTAGCGGCTTCTTCTAGCCGCTCGTTCGCGGAAGCAAAAACACAGATGGCGGCTCGTTTTCGTTTACGGCTCATTAATAATATTAATATTATAATTTAATTACGGGTATGTAAATCGGGCGTAACGGAGATGTAAATTTCCGGGAGATTCCCTCGGGCACTTCGTTGTTCAGAAATTCAAGCTTGATACCCCAAGAATATCGGTTTGTAATACAATCCTTCCTGTCCGAAGGGATGGAGCATCCTCGTAAACGAGCATGATAGGCACCAATTAGGAGCGACCGACAACCTTTGGTAACTTATTCCCGGGTTTGCGACAGTCGGCAAACCGTGCGCGGCAATTGTCAGTGGCCTGAGCGATGAAGAGGACTGTCAATAAACAGACAGTTGCATTTATGCGAATCACATGACATATTTACACATATACGCACGCGTACGAGGTCGAAGTCCATATTCATACCTTGAGTCACTTAACGCCGACGAGGACGAGCCTCGCAGAGCCTCGCCCCTCGGCGGCCTCGCGACCGTCGCGATTCACACCAAGTATAGCATTGTACGTGGGCCACAAGTCGACCATGGCGAGATCGTGAAGGAGATCGCGCGAGGCGGCGCGGGCGGTGGCAGTGCGTCGTTGCAAGTTTTTGGTGGGGGACCTTGACCGAGTGACGTTCACTTGCGACGGCAACGGCGACGTGCAACCGCTCGAGAGAGCGCAGGTAGGGAGAGCCGCAAGGTAGGATGGAGCAGGTCCGAGGGGAAAGGAAAGGAAGAAAGAGAACAGACAGAAAGACGGACGAGAAAGAGAGACAGAGCACAGGGGCAGGGGGGCTGGGAGACGGGAGAGGAGAGGAGAGGAGAGGAGAGGAGAGGAGAGAGGAAGAGAGAGCTGTGTCGGCAGAAGCCGCGGCACGGCGACGAGCCGTTCCGCGAGCAAACTGCGCCAGCTGGATCCTGCCAATAATGATCGCGCTGATATATCTACATCAGGTATACTAAATATTTCATACCACATATTCTTCCTCATCACGGTCCAATATCTATTGATATCAATTTAATAGACAGAATGTGTGTTATGTGAAACGGACGTGACTAATATCGTGAAATGTGCCGATTCCCCTCGATATCAATGTCGAGGGAAATGCAAGAATTCGTAGTATGCACAAGTATTGGGTTCCTGACGCAATTTTGACGAACATACTGAACCCCCAAATAAAATTGGATATGGGGATATTAATCTATCGATCGGCAAAAGAATGTCAAAGGGGTCGCGCTTCCGAGCGTTTCCGACCACATGTGTTCGCGAAATTACGGAGGAGAGAGAAAAAAAATATGATGAAATTGTTTAGTACTTACTCGGATGAGCCCCCCTCTACCTCCTTCTCTTTCCCTCTCTCTTTCTTGCCGGTGCGAACAGTAACGTCGGCAAACTCAACACCAAGAGATCCGGGCCTCATCATATCGACAAGTAAGATTAGCACTTTCTCGCGATTAGCTAAAACTCCGAAAACAAGGCCGCTCACTAAAAATCGATTCGTGGTCTCGTCGGTCCCGCTCCAGTCGCGCTTCCCGGCGCGTGTACACGTTGAAGTCGCTCTGCACGTCGTCGGTACCGCGTCCGTCCGCTCGGCCGTCCGCCCCTGCCTACTCTCCTATCTTACCTGGTCCGTACCTGGGCCCGGTGGGAAGGATGAGGCCGCAGTGGAAGGAGTGGACGGCCTACACAGTTTCAAGCTGGATCCCAGCTTTTATTAGTTCTTCGGCGCTCGGCGAAGCGTCGGAGCGCGAGATACGAGCTCAGTAATCGGTGTTACTTGTACGACGACGACGTTGTAACGAGGACGACGATAACGACGGAGACGACGAAGACGAAGACGAAGACGACAACGACGACGACCAAGTGTCGACAGATCGCAAACGGATCGACCGGTTGGCTTTCTCTCTTTCTCTCTCTCTCTCTCTCTCTCTCTCTCTCTCTCTCTCTCTCGCGAGTTCGGGGATCGCGTATGCCGAGTGAATATACGGCGCTATATTCGTCAGTGCGAGACAATTGATCAGAGACCCGTCGCGTTCTGAGTGTTTCGATTTTCGGTGTTGCGTCGGTAGCCGCGAATTTGCGGTCCAAGCCAGTGGCAAGTGAGACAGCTGTCGAGCGTGAGAGTGTTTTTGTTTCGATTACCGCAGGGAGTAACTCTGATAGAAAGAGCCGGAGGGCCTCCGATAAAGGGATCCTCCTACTCCTCCTTCTCGCCCTTCTCGGTTCCGTTCGGAGAACCGCTCATACCTGAAGGGCCGTACTCGTACAGAGAATAGCAGATATCTAAGCGATTGGGGAATGCTACTGTGTCAGTGAAGGTAAATCGTGATATCGATTAATAGTGAATATCGAGACCATTTCCCGTCGACGTCGACGACGACGACGACAGTGATGACGACAGTGACGACCACAGTGACGACGGTCGCGACGACGATATTATTGGCACGAATCGGCTCGAAAGATCGAACCAGCTCGGTTGGATTGCACACCGGGTCGCCGCGGCCGCGCGCGGACGCTAATCGAAAGGGAAACGGTAGAGCGTCTTCGGTAGGTCGGCTGGCTGGCTAGCTGGCTAGCTGGCTAGCTGGCTGGCTGGCTGGTTGGCTGGTTGGCTGGCTGGCTGGCTGGCTGGCTGGCTGGCTGGCTGGTTCTCCGCCGTGTTCGCGGGGCCGAATAGATTATAGACGTCCCGCGCGAGAGCGAGAGCGCGAGCGCGAGTTATTTCGCCCGCAGATTGGATCTGCCGGTTGGCGGCCGCTCTGGCTCGCTCGCTTGCTCGCTCGTTTGACCGGCCGCTTGGTCGGGCGCTGGGCAAACTAGAAATCCAACGGAAGGGTAATATCCCATTAACTGAAAGATCAATTAACTCGCGTTAACGGACACTTTAATCACCGGTGTGTAGCTAGGGAGGCTAGGTCTCCTTCTCTCCTTCTCTCTCTCTCTCTCTCTCTCTCTCTCTCTCTCTCTCTCTCTCTCTCTCTCTCTCTCTGTCTCTCGTCTCTGTCTTTCTCTGGCGGCGCGCTCGAATCTAGGCGTTTAATCTGCTCGTTGCAAGATCGAGTCGGCCGATCATGCGCGAGCTCGCTATAGGGAGCGATCGCGATACGATGGCGAGGCCTCTCTCGCGGTACGAGAGCAGGATATCGGTGGACGCGTCCGCGCATATTATTCATTGATGCGGTCGCATTAACGACGTCTACGCTCACTCGCTCGCGTGCGCGCGCGAGTCGAAGCGGGAATAAACATTTATGGAAATCGATAGCTCTCTCCCCGACTCATGACGCGCTCGGTTTTAAGTCCGTCCGTGGATGTCTCGATTAGGCGAGTCTCGCGAATTAATACCGGCCGGGGGATTTATGAGCGCGAATTGCACGACGAATCGCGTTAACGCCGCGATTCCAAGCCGCCGGCCTCGTCCTACACGTGTCGCAGATGAAGCCTTTCATAAGTACGAACTCGAGTCGCGTAATTGCCGTATTGTTAGTCGATGATAGCTTCTTGGACGGTTTCAGGGTCAGCCGGCCCTACGAGAGCCATTCAACGGGCATGCCCGGTTGCGAGTACGATTTACGAGAAGAATGGCAACAACGGAACAGATCTTAGAGAAATGCGCGTCAATATTTTATTGTACCTGATAAAGTATAAATTTCATATAAATATATCAAAAAACTTGGCGCTGCTGGACCGAATAATTTCGGCATATTTGTTTCAAAGATTTTCCACATATCTGTTCCATATCAATCTATTATTAAAAATCGATATTTTATATTTATATATATATATATATATATATATATTCATGACTTCCAGAAGCAATAAATTAAATCATTAAATAATAAAATAATTAATACATTTACGATATTATATTTATATAATTTCAATCCATTCAGTCGTTAATGAGAACCGATGTCTATTACTAAACGTCAATATTTTATATTGTTATATATTCATAACTTTCAGAAGCAATAAATTAAATCGTCAGATAATGAAGTAATTAATATATTTACGATACTATATTTATATAATTTCGATCCATTCAGCCGTTAATGAGATCCAACATCGGCGGTATTTTCCCCAATTAGACGCGTCGCGTATAAATGCACGGTCCGCCTCGCCGTTGCTGCGCGTGAACTTGACACGAGATACCTAACCGTGTCTCTTGATATATCGCCTGTGTTTGACGGGTCAGTTTTCCAGCCGAATCCATCTCGCGAGAGCGTCATCTCGCTTCGTTCGCACGGATAACATCACGGCGCGATTCCGAGTCATATTTTGATGATTTTCCGACAGCGTTGTACACACTCAGCTCCCAAGTCGCGCTAACTTGTCTCCGAACGATCCTGGCAGGAATCGTCCGCTCCGACTCGCAGACTCGGTGCGGCGAGAACTCGATCGAGCCCTTTCGTCCACTTTCCTCTCGCCCACACTCGCCGCCACGGCTTGTCTCGGCTGTCCGCGCTCGCGAAGATGAAGATCGCGGCCCGAGCTGCGCGAATTCCTACCCGCCGGCTCCCCTCAGACATGCTTTTATCGCGAGCGTTTCAGTCCGCGCGCGCGCGTTGCGTGGCGATGATAGGGACGTGCGGCTATTGTAATAATAAAGAGAACGCACGCGAATATACGCGCGAGACGGTTGCAGCGATAAGCGGCGAGGTGTACCGAGGGCGGGAACTTTCGGCCTTGACGTGTACGAAGTGTGTCAGTGTTACTCGTACGAGCGAGCGAGCGAGCGAGCGAGAGAGAGAGAGAGAGAGAGAGAGAGAGAGAGAGAGAGAGAGAGAGAGAGAGAGAGAGAGAAACGCCGCTTTCGATGAAAATCGCCGTTGAATCCATTCACCATAATGCATCCGCGTAACGTGACCCTTGCAGCCGTCCAGATTTCTCCTCGCCCGCGGGATAAGCAATGGTCAGCCTCGCATAATCGAGCCGATGGAGAGGCGAGCTCGCTCCGTGTGCGAATAAAGTGCGATCGCTCGTCGTCGCTCTTTCCCTCTTATTTTTCTTTCTTCTCGGCTTCGCGAGTCGCCGTCCCGCGATTTCCATTTCTAGAGTCTACGTCATTCCTGTCGCTGCGCGCGAGCCGTGTCTTCCACGGAATGTTCTATTAGTTCTGAGTCATATTTCCGCATCGGCTAATAACGGCGGCATGCTAACGGTGGTGGTCTCCTCCCTCCTTCCTCTCGCGCCTCTCTTTCCAACGGATATTTAATATCCGCTTTCTTCGAGTCGGGGTCAGGAAAGAAACGGCGTGCGGCATGAGAAAAAAAATATTGCAGAGAGCTCGAAACGTTTGACGTGTACTATCCACCTAGGCAATTTCTACCTGGCATAATTAAACGCGCGGTTTCGTACGGAACGGCTGTTGTTCGTGAAGAGTTCAGCACGAAAAAAGGGATCGTCAATTCAAGGAGAGTTTCATAAACGCGCATTTCTCGATTGCCTTACCTTTCGGTCGCGCATCCTAGCATGACATTCTAAAATTAAATTAAACATTCCTCAGGCACCCCATCAATCAGATTCAACCGCGCTGCGCGGCGGGTTAAGCGGCAGATGTTAAGTGAGTGATAGGAATTTCTCGCTTCCCCGAGCTTGACATACGCAGACGAGAAAAAATGAAAATACGACGACGAAAATCGATTTCCAATACATGTTCCGGCCTCGATAAAGTCGGAACGAATATTGAATATGTATATGTCCATTTTTCCCGTCATGTTCTCTAATTCTGGACGTATCAAAAGCAAACAAATACCATGAAACGCGAATACGACTGTTGTGTAGAAACGTTTGAACGTTCGGCAGCTTCGGGATTATTGAGAGTGGAAAACAACAAAGGTAGACTCCCAAATAAAAACGTCATCGTCCATTTGCCGATGTCATAACTTTATTTTCTGCATATGGACTTTATTGAAGCAGCGGAGAATGCGAACTTTGATCCCACATATCTTGAAGATAAAGAACGGGCTCAAGCTGAATCCTTTTCAGAGGATCAATGTCAACTTATATATAATTATCGTTTAACACCGAGTTCAAGTCAGACTTCAAGGGTGAAAGGCAAGAAAACAGGCGATTTTTGCGCTCGCTCTTTCGTAGAACCCGTAGAGCGTTCCCCCTCGAAGAATCATTGACGCGTCGTATCGCGTCAATCGCCCGAGACTACGAAGCACGACGATGAGGCACGACGGGCAAATTTTAATCGAAGTTCGCACATGACGAATTTTTCCGGCCGGATCAACCGCGTATCCCTCGGTGACCTACAATCATATCCGATATACCGTGATGAATTTTTCAGCAAAGAATAATTGCTTACACGTCGATATTAATTTCCCGCTTGTAGCTGTGAAACTTCCGACTCGATGATAAATATATTACTCCTGACTGTTGACTCGGTCGTCGCACGACAAACGCACGCAATTCGTTCCCGTGAATTTTGCATACGGATGAGACAATCAATCCCCGAGCACTCTCTGCAGCGGCGTATAAAAACGGCAAGGTCGGACACGATAAAAACATCTCTAAAAATATCGCTGACGACGGTGCGCCGCGGCGGTCGCGGACGACGCGACGCGACGAAGCGGAAGCCTCGCGAGAGAGGCCGCTCATTATCATTATAAGCTCTTTATTTCGCTACATGTTTTTCGCGCTCTCGCGTAAAAACCGACGTCCTCTTTTTCTCCGGGAGACGCGCGCTTCGCCGTTGATCATTTTACCGCTACAAAGACCGCCACGATGCCACGCGCAGCTCTCAAAAGTAGTAAATAAACTCGTCCTGCTCTTCATGTCGGGACTTTTAATCCCCTCGACGGTTTACTTTCATGTCACGGCTTGATTGAAATATAATCCCACGGGCTTAAAGTACAAAACGCGCGTCAAGAGCAGGAGAGGAAAGGAATGAACAAAACTTGAATGTCCTATTTACAATTCATTCCCGTTTCCCTTTAACATTCCACTCTTCTCATCGATTATTTTGCCGTCAGCGTCATTAAAGACACCCACTCACTCGATGCGAAACGCGCCGCTACGTATCAATCGTGGGCGATTGTAACCGAAATTGCTTTGTCGACACAATCAGTATTCAACGCAAGTGCCTGATGCCGTCCTTGAGACAAATAAAACTGAGCAGTACGTACGTACACGTGCGCGCATTTTTATCAAGTATATTCAAGAACCATCGAGACCATCGAGAATGAATGACAGGTCGTTCGGGTGAGATTCTACGCGCTGACACGCGCGTAACAAGGGTGAACTGTGATAACAATTTTATCACCATTCTCGCGACGATGCGAAAATGAAAATACCAAGAGGAGGAGGAAAATAATACGAATACGGATGCATGTAGGAGCAACCCAAGGGGACATCTATTTTAAATGAGACCCGAGGGTGCGAACCGAGGGATTAAAATACACTTCCAGGCAGGTCCATAGCCATATGTGACGAAAGTCACCAGGACCCGCTAAACTCCATGGGGATACTTCAACGTGTATCCCACGGCTTCACACGCAATGTTAAATAAAACTGTATTTTTCGGGATTCTATATAGAGGGAGCGAACGGGCGTGAGAGAGAGGGAGGGAAGAAGAAAAATGTTTACGAGTTTTACAAAGATTTATACGACGGGTCGCTTTCATGTGTCTCTCTTCTAATCTCTTCATCACGTCGCGAACCACTCACGGATTCGATTCGAGGACGAGGGGTTGCGGAGGATCAAGGCAGGTCAAAGAAATAACTGGGATGGCTTTCGCCGAAACTTCGTGTCGAGCACGTCTAATATACGAGTGGCCCGGCTGAATGCGCGTTTCCTTCGTTTACCCGTCAACTACAATTCGAATAACAATAAAGTGAGGGATAAGGAGGCCTAGAGCGGACACATCGCGCTGCGGATCCCCATGATTTGAATCCGCCCGTCCGTTTCGTATATATTTCAAGCCGAAGGCTCGCGTTCCCTTTTTTTTCCTCTTCTTCTCGCTTTCTCGTTACAAGAGGAGAGGAGTTAGTGATTGATGCAAAGGGAATCACAGTCGCGTCCTCGCTCCCTCGTCGTGACATCCTTCCTACTGATCCATGTCGCGTCATCGTTATTATGACGCGACTACGAATAGCGACTGACGCAATGAAAGAGCCGGTGAAATTCGTCCCGTCTCGTATGTCGAACATGTATTCTCGTATATCAAATGGTACTGACAGAATGCAGGAGTAACGTTACGATAGTCCGGGGGATGCACACGAGACATGGGGTTTCGCCGAATTTCTCTAACGAATTTTCGGGATATTCGGGATTTTACATTCGTCACGAGACAAGACGTCGCGAGGCAGAAAAAAGTTTTCAATCGCGGCAATAAAAACGCTTTCTGTCGGGATACACAATCCCGCTCTCTAACTTCTACGCGTCTTACGTGTCGCGTATGTCGTATGAGAGACAGATAGACGGATGAAAAAGAGAGAAAAAGAGGGTGAGTGCGCGCAGCTGTCGCGGAATGGTGAAAAGCGCAAACTGGATGGACCGAGACGCAATAAACATTGCCGTTTCGCGCGCTGAGTGTTTAGCACCTCCCTCGTTGACTTTTATTGATATGTGACATATGTGTAGAAAGCCGATAATAAAATCAACGTCCGTCAGCATCACTCTCTGTCTCTCATCTTATTTTTTTCGCGAGGCCCTGTCGCAGACCCGGTCAAAGGTGCGAAGATTCGTGTCCGCGCTCTCGCGTAGATCTCGGAGGGAACGCTATTAGATCGAGAGGATATCGCTGCTAGGAGATTGCGAAGCCAGAAATGTAAACGCCAGTCGCTGCCTACGGCGGTGATCAAAGGAAGAGAGCGAGACAAGGATCCATGGGGGGGGGGATCCATGGGGATACGCACGGGGGATGTCCAAACCACTTTGTATTGGCAAACCGACGAAGCCGCTTTTATTCCCCGGATTACCTTTGTTATTTTCCCCTTTCCGACGATTCCGCAGCTCTCGAATGTCCAAACGTTCCTCCGCGTGTGCGTTTCATGGCGTTTGTCCGCTTTTGATACATCCGCGACTGAAAAGAGTACGTAACAGGAAAAAGTGGATGCACATATCCCGATATTACTGAGACCGGAACGTGCACATTGAACATCGTCGATTTTCGTCGTCGGATGCATATTTTTTTTTCTCGTCTGCACACGCATCGGCCTCGGGGGGGGGGGGGGACGGGAGCAATTCTCGCTAACCACTCGCTTAACCTTTGTCGTCCGTTTTGCGCCACGCAGTGCGAGTGACGCGTCGTCGCGACTCTCCGAGGGAGAACGCTCTACAGGTTCTATGAAATTCTATGAAATTTAAATTAAGGTGTCGTTGCGTTTATAGGTACGATAGGTACGATAGTATAGATGATAGGTACGATAGGTATAGATGATCGATACGAGGACGACGAATTGCCAGCACACACGTAATTATACGATGGCGCTTAATGCGGCCGAATGTAAAGAAAAAGTGAGCGAGCGCGCGCCGCCTTATCGCACAATCGCTCTCATTAGTGAACTTCTCATCAGCGCGAGACCCATGCCGATATTATGCGCCGTCATCGTCATCGCTGTCACTGTCATTATATCGTTGAGCATATCTCTGGCATCCCATCTGCCCGCACGGCGACAAAGAGAAGCATTATCACTCGTTGCGTTTATCATCATCTACCGCATGCCGCTGCTATAGACGTATCATCTTCGGCAACGCGCGATCGCTATCGCGCTCCTCTTTCTCTCGCGCGTTCACGCGCGCACATACTCACCGAGAGAGAGAGAGAGAGAGAGAGAGAGAGAGAGAGAGAGAGAGAGAGAGAGAGAGAGAGAGAGAGAGAGAGAGAGAGAGAGAGAGAGAGAGAGAGAGAGGGGAAGAGCATTCGCGTGCGGAAGTGACGAACGTGAACATCTCTCGTACGACAAGCGACAAAAGACGATCCTCGTTGACTAATTATTCGAGAAGCGGAGTAGTGATTCGGGGTCCGATGGAATTCCTTTGAAACTAACATCGACTTGACTCGCGAAGATTATCTCGTTAAATTGCCGATGAAAGTCGCGCGAGCGTCGTCTATCCGATATTCCCCTTTGACAATTATCGGCGAAGCACTCTATTTACTGAACGTCGTGAAACTTGCGCGAAAGCGGCGAAAATCTGACGAGTCTACTCTCGCGAATTATATAAACGAACGCAAATCAATAATTCCGACACGTGTCATCCAAGCGGGACGAACATATTTTGTTTGACGTAGAAAAAGAGACGAGATCGTTAAGAAGGACAAACAAAGCAGCTTTGTTTGGCTTCCAGATCGGAAATTGGGGTATTCTCCTGTAAGCAAAGGGAAGAAGCGAGGAAACGAGGTGAAAACGCGAGAGAGGGAGCTTAGCTTCAGATTTCAGATCCAAGCGCGCATGAGCGCGTCAGGGGATTGATAAAAACTAAAACTCACGACAAAAAAAGCGAACCCTCTGGCAAAACGAGCGAATCCATTTCGATATAAGCAGATTACATATGGCATGAACATTCGAGAACGAAAGACACGAGAAAGGAAGATGCTGACGATACAGCGTTCAGACTCTTTGAGAGAGGGAGAAGGCTGCAGCCCTCCGAGCACGCATTTGATAGCCCCTGTCATATCCGGGGCTTCCGTCATCGTGTGGAAGCCCGCCGAAAGAAGCGTCTCCTTCAATCGAGACGTCCATGTGAAGAGGATCGGTGAGTCCAGGCAAAATCACACCATACAAACCGCGAACATATCCTGCATATGCGTATAACTTTCTACGGCGGAGCGACATAACATTACGCTATGACGATGTGGATATAACGAGATCGGGGTAGATTAACGTGACGCTGCTTGATTCGTTCGATTGATTCGGCGCGCACGTGCGACTTCTTTTGGCGTGTATTTGTTCCGTGTGAGAATCCCTCGACTAATTTACCAGCCGACTAAAAGCCTCGGAAGTTTCGATAACGCGGCCGAAACGTTGACGTGCCCTCTGTACTTTTTTCATATCCTTTTTCCCTCAGATCAAATTTACGCGATAAATTTCGCCGTAAGTCGATTCCACACGCGAGTTCTGCGCGTGTCGGGGTCCTAGATGCATATCTAAAATATTGACTATGCGCGGAAACGTAAAATCAGATAAAGTCTACACGTAAAAAGAGTCCTCGGTGTTACGGTGGGAGTAGCCCTTTTGAACGTTGGCGGCCTAACAGTACCGCGATCCATATCCACCGGCGAAGGTCGCGTGTACCGTTTGCCGAATTAAAATCTGATAAAAGCAGATTTTACGCGGCGATGCGTCCGCGAGGATGATCTTCCGGTACGATTCGCCGTAAAAGCATAAGCATACGCGTCCGGAATTTAATGCGCGTCGCCGTTGTAAAAGCACGTTCACACACTCGCGCGCGAGCGTGTGAAGCAAGTCGGCGGAGGAGGAGAGCCTGAGAGAGAGAGAGAGAGAGAGAGAGAGAGAGAGAGAGAGAGATCGCGCAAAATGATTTTACCTCGCGATGCCGCGATGTCTTGTGTTTCAGAAAAAATTACGGGCCTGCCCTAGAGCGATCCCAGATTGTGGAAATTATTCGCGGCCGCTTCCCTCTTCTCTCTCTCTCTCTCTCTCTCTGCACCTCGCCTCTCTCTTTCTCGCGCGTTCGCCTTCCGCGAGATCTCGTCCCTCGGCGACGCGATCGCCGCTTCCGAGAAGCGTGCCGACTGGGAAATTATGCCGGCCGTCGCGCGAAATTCCGCCGGCGAGCGCGATATGACGCGATTGCATCTCGTCGCGAGCGCGTTAAAATCGTGGCGGCGACGGCGGAGCCGTGCGAGGACTCGCGCAGATTCCTGCCGATGCGTAGGGCTGAGAAATCGATCGATCGGAACGTCGTGGCGCGTCAAGCAGCGTCGTGAATCATCTTCACCGAGCTCCACGTGTAATTCGCTCCGTGTGTAACTTGTGCGCTCTAACTCGCAACGAGCCCTCGATGTCGGTGTGTGTGTGTGTAACATTACTTAATCAGCCCGTCGCACACTAACGGCACGAAGTAATCTTCGTTGCGCTACGGATCTGTTTTCTCGCCTTGCTCTCGTGTTGTCTAATATGGCATTAATTATCCGCGGTATTAATCGGCGCTTACGGTTGATCCATAATTGAAATAACGTAACCATGTAACCTTAACGACAACTCCGCGTGTCTCGCGAATCTCGCGTTTTCCCCGCTGAAGGTGACGGCAACGTCGTGACCTTGACGAGGAGAAGGTCCTCGAGTTGTCGTCATCTTCAGGTCCGCGGGAAGACGGCGTCGTCTCTCGAAGGGCGCGCGTTGTCTCTCGCGGTTTCACTCCACTGCGATATGTGGGATTGTATTGGTATTGGTTTTGTGTGTGTGTGTATTACAGCAGGACTCAACCGCACTTCTAATTATTTATGTTAATATTCCATCTCTCTCTCTCTCTCTCTCTCTCTCTCTCTCTCTCTCTCTCTCTCTCTCTCTCTTATTCTCTGCGCGAAGAGAGCGCAGATACTGATTCGTGTGTCACAATCCCCCATTCCGAAGCTTCGCCAACGGTTTCGTTAAAAATGTTAATAACATGAAAGCTTGCCGCTCCGGGAAGAAGCTGTGAGATTGAGTTCTATTGGAAATTAATCAAGAGTAATATTCCGCTGTCTGTCCGTAATCTATAAGATTAAGCGCGCTGAGGGGACACAAATATCCTCCAGATTTGTCGAGGGACGTCGCGCGCCCAGCTGCGACTCATCATTATGTCGTGTCTCGTGTTACGCTCTCCAAATGGTCGAGCTATAATTAAAGTCGAGAGAACTAAGCTTCATTACCGGGACGAAAGGAAGAAATCGCACGACCGATTAAGCCTCCAGGTCGCCGACGAGACGCGTGGCCACGCGCGCGGTATTACTCTGGGTCACGTAGATACGCTAAAAGCGGCGTGCCGAGATCTCGAGGTGCGGCGCTTCTATCTTATTTATGAGCAATTTCAGGAAAGCAACTTAATGTGCCACGCACTAAGAGTTGCGGCAAAACGCGGAATAAAGCCGTCGGGTAAAGCCCGAACGTAACGAACCGTCGTAAATTATAAGCATTTCTGCTTGTCGTGTCGTTCGCCGTGATTGCGATATGAATCGCTAGATTTTGGCTCCCCTTCGGCCCAAGTTCTAAATGTATTTGCCCCAAATAAAAGAATATTCGATATGGTCCGACACGTGGTCGGCCGAGGGTGAAAAACCAATATTTGTGTTCCCCCATGTCCGACTTATCGTAACTTTCCTACCGTCCCGGGCACTTGCCGGGCGATGAAAATCATGCAACCAGCCGCAATATCGACGGCGGAATAAAAATTTCATGTGTCATGTATATTTACGTGATATAACGCACCTTTCCCGAAGCGCGGTGAGGAAAAAATTAATGACTACTATCTACTATTAAGCCGCAGTAACTCTCCCGAGAACTCGACCGTGGAGTTTCTTTTATTTTATTATGTCGGAATATGTGCACGCACCCTAAGTCTTTACGATCGCGAGCACTCAGCTGCATATATCGGGGTTGTTACATAACGCTATATACGTCCGCGCGTGCGTGCGAGCGTAAAATATCGGAGAGAAGGATCCTGCGACGTACGTGAGCTCGCGATTTTTCTCAAAGAGAAAATTCCGAGGGAGGGTGACTGCTCCTCTGCGTTTCTCCTGACCGATCTCGCGACTTGGATTATATCACCGGCGAGTCCGCGCTCGACAGCACAACACATTCAAATGTCCGACGTGTCCATCCGGTTTGAAATTATAATCGATTCGGGAGATCCGAATATCGAGGTGACACGAGGTGATCCGTCCGTTTGCGCGTCCGAATCGTTAATTAGCGACGGAAATGTTCTTCCTCGTGTGATCCTCCTTATAGATTTCAAGGGACACACCGAGGACACACAGACGACAAGGTCCAAGTATCATTGCCGCGATCGGACGAGGAGGTCGACGAACCTCCTCCTCAGCCGTCCCGTTCTTTTTTTTTTGCGCCGACGACGCGAGCAATAAAAACGTATACTTCACTCGGTGCGAGTCGCCGCGAAATCGCGCAATAATCGACTCGAGAGCCGAGCGAGCATAATTAAATTCACCAATTTATCACCGTACTTTAGCCGGACGTTGCTACCACTGGTCGCCGTACTGTATCGGAGGACTATACCTGCTCGCAAGAATATTCCCACGATTTCCACCGATTGACAGTTACGTTTCTAACGCGCGAGTCGCGACCGACCACGGAGGAGATCTTTCCACGATCCGTTTCCCTGCGTGTCGATCAATATCACTTTTTCTCAACGGCATCTTCCAACGATAATTAAATTTATCGACATGTGGGAATCTAATTACCTATCCGAACGTTTAAAAGGGTAGCCCGTCACTAACACGCAGTTCAACCACGATATACCCTAGAATAATAGAGGGGATCCTCCTTTGTTTCCTAATACGTTGAAAATTTCAACGCTAATTGAATATCTAGCCCCTGGGTTTCCCGTCCCCCGTCAACCCCGCGGCGTCTTTCCACCCACTTGATGTCGATGCGTGTCTTCTATTTATTTCTCGATTATATACGTCGCGTAATTTATATCGGCTAAGAATTTTTCATTTACTATAATTTGTCTCACTTCGCCAACTTCGCTTGATTAATATCGATGGGTTCCTGTCGGTTTCGTATCGTTAAGTTAATTGAATTGGTATCTTCTTCGTTTCATTAAAAGGGATAATACGAGCTGTACATACACCAGTAAACAAGGGTAGCTTCCCTTAATCGTTATTACACATAAGGCGAAGTAATATATATTAATTACGAAATTCTCGGCTCAACTGTAATCCTCCATATGAACTTCGCAACATCAATATTGATGTGCATTTGTCATGTACTCAAACGCGAGTTAATACGACTATCGTTTTGACAAGCTTAATGGGGGGTTGGAATTATTTGCCGAACAATCCTTTGAAGAGCAAAGGACCCTTCCCCGTATCATGTCTTTGCCGTAATGGCCACGAAATTTTGCGGTTAATGCCCTCGGCTTTGTTCCTCTACTCAACTGTATTACATTGCGGATTCAACCTTTCAAGACTAACGCGCAAATGAATATGTCTAATGTCCGGGGAGTTATTTCACCAAATCTAACATTCCCTTTTATCTTACACAGTCGATTAAAATCGAGAAAAAGAAAGCAAATTGGGGAATCCTTTTATTTATCGGAGAAGAGTCGACGCGCGCGTCCGGAGATTCTTTCGTCAATCGAATGTACGCGACCTGTCCAACCTCAATCGCAGAGTGCGTCCTAAACGAAGAGAGTGCATCCTCTCCTCCGCAAAAAAAAAAAGAAAGAAATATCTCACGTCCAAATCGCCAAAACCTGTTGGCGAGACATATGTTTTTAATATTCCCTCCTCTCTCTCTCTCTCTCTCTCTCTCTCTCTCTCTCTCTTCCCGTGTTCCTTGCCTCTCTCTCTCTCTTTCCCTTTCTCCGTCTCGTTGTCTCACTCTCGCTTCCTCTTCTCTCTGTTCGCCTTTCTCTTCCCGCTGTCAATGCGGGCGGTCTCAAGTGGTCAGCCTAGTTGGGTGCAGCACTATGTTCGCGTATATGCCTCGTCCCAGCTTGTTAAGGACCTCTTGTGTCGTCCGTATTATCCCGCCTGCCGGCGTTTCCTGGACCGTCGCGTGCTCTGCGATCGC